AAAAAAAAACGTTTTAAAGATGCTGAGAACAGCAGATGGAAACCTGAGCCTCAGCTGCTTCTGCAGAAGCTCCTGGGGTTAGGCCGTGATTACAGAAACTAAAGCAGGCCTTAAGCATGCGAAAAGGAAGAGAATGCCAGAAAAAAAACAGCCATTCCTCAGACCCCTCCTCGCTACCGCCTCGGGAAGCTGGGCAGCACTGCCTGCACCCCGGGCAGCTGCAGCCACGGGCCTGGGTCTGCAGTCGCAGCCCTGGCCCCCGTTTTGCTGTAGAAGCGATACCCCAAACAAAAAGGATCTTTCCTTGATAAGCATGCTGCTTGCCAAATCTGATTTTCAGTTCCAAAGCAGAAAATAGCCATAAAAATAATCCAGGGCTGGAAAGTAAGCCTTAAGATGGAAGGCTTAGAAATTGCAGTCTTTTCAGTTTGTCGTGGGGAATAGGAGCGAAACTTGATTTTATTGTCCAGTGCAGGCTCCTTGAGATGAAATTTTGGGGAACAAGGATTATGTTGCACAGAGAAGAGCCAATGGGTGCTATGCTGAAATTGAGCTGGAACTTGAATTAAGATGGAGTTTCCAATTGTTGAGTTGATTTAAGCGTTATTAAAGTTTACCAGCAAGGGTGATCAATCTTCTGTTTCTTTGACTCGCTTAAAGGAGCTTTCTAGAAAAGCTTTAATGCAGTTCCAGGGTGAGCTCCTGCAGACCACCCATTCGAGTGAGAGCAGGTCCCAGCTGTCTGCCCGTGAACCTGAGGGCAGGGTGTCTCCAGTCTGGCCCTTCCTTCTTCCTACCGACGGTGACCTACCTAGAGGCCATTGATTTGTGACTCCTAAATGGAAACTGGATGCTCTGCCGTCTGAAGCTGCACTGAATACATTCTCCCCTTGGAGGATCAGGTCTCAGGCAATCCCAGACGGTGGGTTTCCAGGATTTGGGAAAGGCACTAGAGGGTGCTGTGCTGAAAGAGAAGAACCGGGGTTTGTGTCCGCAGGAAAGCTTCCCAGCCTCAGCAAGGTGAAGAACCGCTACCTCCCTCTTCTTTCCTCCGAGGTCGTGAGGCCTTTTCCTGCCGTGACAGCTTTGTGCCTTTTTCCTTAAGGACGGGACCAACACACGCTGGTTTCCTTGAATCTTACACAGACTGACAGACACAGGGAGTGTAGAGACAAAGGGGGCAAGAGTGCAACTTGGGGTGTAAAGAGGGACAGGCCCTATCCTTTTCTTACCACCCAGGCTGTTTCCCTACGGTTAGCTTACTCGGATAATTTTCTTTTTGTGTTTCCTTCGGCAGGAATAGGGAGGCTTCAAGAGGGAATGAAAGAGAGCACATTTTGGCATTCTGACAACGTTAATGAACTTTCAACCTATGCAGTAATAGAAAATGGAAAAATGGTGGAGCCAAATCGGTGAAAAATGATCACCTCAGAATCCAGACTTCTCCGATGCTCAGACAGCATGTAAAACTACAGCTTCACAGATCCGAACGAAGCCAGGCCGATTTCTGCTAGCTCCTCATAGCTTACCCATCCATACCTCTTGATGACTCTCTGGCATTGCATTAGATGAGCGTAGGCAAAATGTTCCTGTAAGAGGAATCACTAGTGAGAAGGGTAAAAGCTAAGCAAAGAAAGAAAACAAGAGCTGGAAAAAGTGGAGCTGTAGCGCCCAGAGCAGCACACAGATAGCTTTTTTCTGGGTGGTAAAGCTGATACTTGCTAAAAATGTAATAATTATTTCTTTCCCCTGAAATATCTGAGTGCACAGTTAAAGATTATACGTGTTACTTTTCCTAACAGTAGAAACCTGTGGCAGAATTTGTTATTCAAAGTATAGCTATTCCTGTAGATAGGCACCTTGCTTACAGTAAACAAGTGCCAACATCAGCACACCAGAACACACACACTGTAATTTGCGTGTCTAGACTTTATTATTACAGCATTTTAGTTGCAACTTATCCCAGACATACAAGTCAACGTAATTTCACACTTCATTATATCCGCTGCTTCTTTCCCAAGCAAAATCAGCATTTAAAAAGAATTGCAGAATTTCAGCATTGCTAAAAAGCTCTGGAAATGACATTATGTGCCAATCTGTAAAGCAACCCTTTTTTTTTTTTCCTCTACAATCCTTCCCTCTTCCCACTATCATTATCTATTCATAACAGGTTTTATGCTATTTTTCAGATTCATAAACCACAGAACTACAAGATACAACTTTTTTCATTACAAAATTTTTCAAGCCAGAGTTTTTGAGCCTGTAGAGGTAGCCAGTTACACATAAAGGAAAGCAGGAAAGCAATCCAAAGCCTGATCTGGGTCTGGGAGAATGACCTGACCATAGGCCTTTTCTATTGCTCTAAATTTCCTATAATAATGTATGGTTTTAAGCAAGATACATCTAACCATTTTACTGTATATTTTTTCCCCTCTGGGCACACGATGGGAGATTAAAGCAGGTCGTAATTATCCCTTGCATTGCTGGGCAAGCTCACAGTCAGGGTGACTGGCAATCCTTAGGTGTGCTCCAGCCGCAGCTTTGGAATGGCTGACACTTCTGATACAGCAAGCTCAACACAGAGAGAACTTTCTGAAATTACCCCATCACCTACCTCTGTTTATCTACACTCCCCAGCTCTGTGACCTCCAAAGGACATACAATCATTCACGTGTCATTTGTCCTTACTGCTCCATTGTTCTGCAGGACTTGGCAGATTACCCGGGGAGATTTACGGACAGAAAACCCCCAACCCTCCCCCCACGAACAAAAACCATCCCACAGTTTTTTTGTCTTTTGAACAGGGTTCCCTCCCCCAAATAAGTGAAGCCCCAAACGTGCATCATGAAGGATGAAGCAATCACAAGGCAAGCTCAGGGTGGTGGCTGAATAATAAACACAAATTAGGCTACTACAGCAGGCCATGAGAATAAGGGAATGAAAAAAATTATTTAATATGGTACGTACTTATTCACGTAGAATAGTAAAAAACGTTTCAGAGTCCCCTAGGCATCATTCTGCTGCAAATGCACCTTGTACTAGGAAGCTGTTGCAATGCCTGAACGCTTAGAAAGCCATGTAAGCTGCAGTCAGGAGAAAACACCATGCCAGTCATTTTCAAAAGAGTCTTTCCATAAATTACTTTATTTCTCATTAAATGAGCACAGAGTCATTACCATATTAATAACAGATATGTTTATTATTACATATCCATCAGTGCGGCTTTCAATACCACTTGAAACATGCAAATCGTCCTAAGGACGAATCAGTTTTCCAGTGCTTCTTATTTAATACACAACTGCAAAGCCATTATAAATTACTGAGGAGGTATTTGGTTAAGAAATAAAATAAAAATAAAACCATACTGCCCATACCATGAATGGATTCCTGCTACAAAGCAAGAGTCTGACAGCATTTACTGAAATTCCTGAACTACCCGGAGCTTTTGCGTTATATGCTTGCTTTTTTTTTTTTTTGCATTGCCTACACATCTCCCTGCTTACGAACCAGAATCAGTCTTTCTTTGTAAGAGGAATTCTCATTCAAAGATTGTACTTAATTTAGAAAATGCATCTAGCGTCTACAATACTTCAACCAATTAAAATTCAGTAAAAACCACTGATATACAACAGTTTTTTAGAGGTTTCCTTTGTTTAGATTTCTACATTTATTGACATGGCAATAATACAATTATCTCAAATTAAGGCACTAAAAAGGACAATGTAAAACCCAGTAAAAGTGTTCTAAGAATAATTTACAGTTCAAACAGTGCATATATTTCTTAAATGTTTGTTAACTTAATGTACGTTATCACTTAAAATTGTAAGGCAATACTCAAAGTTATAGAAATGATGTACCCCAAAATACGCTTCCAACCTTGGTGGTTCTTTTCACTGTTAGTTTCTAATGCCTCTAATAGTAAAATAATTCAGTATGGCTTGGCAAAAATGCATAGATTAAAGGCAATTACTTAGTTTCCCCCCTTTACAAACCTGCTGAATCAGTACTTTGTAATGCAGAAGGCAAAACATTTCACACTTTGATCCATTCCATAGTGGGTGGTTAGCATTAAGGCTGTTAAGAACTCTGCAGTGAAGGCACTGAAGTTCAAGTGATAAGGCTTCATTTTTAAGCTAGTTCTGCAGTCTTCAAGAGCACAACTTGGGAGTCTTGAAAGCAATTGCAGTCCTTCTCATTGAGAAACCTTCCTCCTCTACTCCGTTTCATATGCTCATCTTGACATAAATATCCCCTTCACAGGGTAAACAGTCCTTTTCTTTCACTGATACGAAGAAAGTTGGCTGCATTTCATCATGATTGACAGGCTTTTTTTTTTCTTTAAATCCAAAAAGGCAGCACCTTCCTTTATACACCTAGCTAAGCTTTATTTGCTTTAACTTGCATTACATAGTAATAATTAATCTAATCTACCTTTAGGCAAACCCGCAATTAAACACCCTCAGCGTGCTTTTGTGCCAAAGCAAGGAGGAGACAGTAATAGCAATCTTAACCCTGAAGCCTGTGATAGTTATGTTGAAAGGAACAACAGCCCGTCTGCACTGCTCTGTGTGGTTAAAAAAAGCCCTGTTTCTCAGACCGCATCCCATGAGGTTCCATTAAGCACTGTACATGTGGTTAGCTGGAACAAAGAAGAAAACAGGCAATTAATAACAAATATAAAAATTAGCTTCATAACTCTAGTGCACGTTTGCCAAGAGCTTCAGTGAAGAAAATACTTTCTTTTACATTAACAAAGTATTTTTTCAGTTGGCATGGTAGAGTACTAAGATCATACCTACACAGCCTTCCACAAACTGTTCTTCATTCCAAACAACATTAAACGGGCACAGAGATCAGACAGAGGATAACATTACTGCAGCTTTACAAGTGAACTATTAAGAGTGAACAATCACGGGTGCATTCATGGCAAACGCAAAGTGACCCTCTTCCACCTGTGGGACAAGAAAAGGCTCTCTACAGCGCTAAGAGCACGCACATGCAGTTGCCAGAGCTTGTCTGATGCACAGGAGTTGTGGTTGTTGGGTGGTTGTTGGCTTTTTTAAACGCGCATTAACCTGATCACCTGCCCAAGTCCAAATATATTAAAAGAAAACACCTGAACTGTGCTGACACGATGTGCCTAAATCAGCATTGTATACACTATGAAGTGTAGTTCCAGATCCAGAGGCAGTACAGCAAGTGCTTGCAAGTTCATCACAGAGTTGTGATTCATATTTACTAGTGGTAAGTTAATAAATGAGGAACAGAACTGAAGATGAACTTATACGTGAAGCTCCTTTTAATGGGTCTGACCCACCTCTCCACGGAGCCAATGAAGTGCTGCCTCCCAACTGCAAAGAGAGGTGGATCAGAGCCTAGATGAAATGTACTCAAATGTCTTAAACCATGAATTGAAGCCTGTAGCCACTGGACAGAACAGGTAATGCCTGTTTACATGGTAGAGCTCCATCACCAAGATCAAGTTCTGTTCTACTGCCTGACAAAAGAACAATGTTCAGACACTTAGTAAAAGCTAAACACCTACATCCCATAAAAATCACTACTGCTTCTCTTACTCCCAGGACTAGGTAAAGAGGTCAGGATGAGAACTGCAGGGTGCAGCATCTGGAGTGCAGAGAAGCTGATCTAACAATTCACTGCCTCCTGAATGGAAAAGGACCTGCAGTTCCTCCACTTCATCACCTTCCTGATCCCTCCTACTTACCCATCCTCAGCTTTGGCAACCACTGCCCATCTCAGGGGGCTAAATCCACTCACTAGCTCAGCAAAGTTTACTTTTTTTTTGACAGTCAGGAAACTGAACTGTGCACCTTATGGAAGGGTCCAAAATGGATCATTTCAAGCACTTACCCAGGATCCAAGGACAGGTGAGCAGGGAAGGAAGACAGAGGGGGAAAATCCTCCCCCTTAAGTAGCAACAGGCTGTCAGATTAGCTCAGCTACTGCGCAATCACAAGTTAAGCATTCAGTACGTAAGACCCATTGTAAACTTATTTAAACATCTGGTACATCAGAAGTGAATTTGCCTAAAATAAATCCAAAGATTCTTCTTTCTAAACATATAGGATGGAATATGTAGTGGTATCAGGGCCCAGACTGGCCATAATTGTCTAATTCACAGACACTACTAACATCAAATTTGTCTGAGAAAGTCACAAAAACCCTCACAGTAGAACAGCTTGAAGGAGAAGCTCCTATCTGACCTTTTCTAATGCTCATTTGCCCAGTGTAACTCTGAATCTTTTCATTATTAGCTCGCACTGCTCTGCAGGTGCCATGCAAGCCCCACTGCGTTCCAGTCAACCCAGTGGCAGCTGTCTGCTGGGGACGGAGCGTGCCACAATGCCGCCCAAGCAGCATCTCAAGCACCAGGGAGGTGCGGGGGCTCCCCACCTGCCTCCTGCACACATCTCCACGCAGCACGGAGGCCGGCAGCATGCACGTACCCGGGACAATTGCTGGGCAAGTACTGTGCCTCTCTAAATGGCTTATGCCCAATGTGTTTCTTCCTCCATACTCAGTGCCTACAATATGCAGCATTAGAACAGAGTTTGCTGTAAATTCATTATATCTTCTCAGAAGCTACATCCGTATTAAACACCGTTAAGAAGCAAGATTTCTAAGGTCAAATACCAACTATGTCATCAAACTCACTGATGGGATTTGGGCTCAGTCTGGCAGAGTAATATAAATGTTCACATCAGTCTGTTAAAAGATTTCAAGAAGTTAGAGATGAGACACAGGTATTAACTCCTGAACTGCCAGAAAACTGAAGAGCTTTATTTCTTCCCAAGAACTGGGAAGATCCCATTGGGTGATGGAGAAAGGTGTGAACAGAGGCTGTACACAGGGCAGACGGAGAAAATGCAAGTCTGCAGAATTCTAAACAGCTGATCTGACCTGATACTTCCCTAGAGCAAGATGACCACCTTCACCCTTCCTCCTCCCACACTTGAGAGAGATCTGGTGCTTTCTGGACTCCTCCTTCCTAACCCGAAAGAAAACCATATGCTTTTCTTCTGTGGGGTTAGGGTTGGGGTTTGTTGTTATGCTTTGGTTTTTTTGGCTTTTCTTTAGTGAAAACATTCCTGGATTATTCTCTGCTGGAAAACAGATCAGTTTACTCTGGTAATCTGTGAAGCATGAACTGACACAAGACAAAGCGCAGGAATGTGTGGCTCTCCTCCTCCTAGTGCTGGTGAGCTTTTAAGCTCACTGTATCTCTAGGATCTTAAAAAAAAAAAAAGCGCTTTAAAGATGGTGTTTCTCATTTTTAAATAGTTCCCATTGACTACTTGCATATTTCTACAATTCTCTAACACTCTCTCTCACATGACAAATGCCAATAGGATTAATAACAGAAATTGTCTGAATAACTGACCTCCCCAAACAGACCCATTCCTTTCAGAGCTACTGTAAATTCTCAAATATGTAAATCTGTTCATTCTATAAGAGACGAGCTGCAAACTTGTTCTTGCTCATGGCAACCTCAAACCAGCATTTCTACTAAGACTGAAAAGGAATCAATGAATTGATTTAAGAAAACGGATTTGCTCCCATAAAAACAGTATGGATGAAAGCTCCTGTGCTTTTCCAATTGGCTCTAAAACGCCTGGAAAAAAGTTAAGATCTTGCAACAAAACCCCTGAGAGATCACATGGTTATGTATGCTGAAAAAAAAAAATCTACTGAAAAAGCTACCAGCTATGAGACATCTGAATAGCAGAGCTGTTCTGCCTACAGTAGGTTTTTAACCTCCACTTTTTTTTTAATTCTGTGTGCACACACACACGCAAATTCCCCCTTCACACCCTAGCGTGAGGTACGTTACAGTAAATGCAGTATAGCTCATCCGAAGACCCTCCCAAAACCTGGAAACAAACATTGCAACAGAACTTAAAAAAGATCTGGTTATTACAGCTACCAGAGAACCTCGCAAGGACAAGTGGAAAGGAAAGCACACTCAGTTCAATTCAAACAGTCTTTTGGAAAAGAAAGCCTACAACTCTAAATATCTACACGTGAAATAAAGCAGCACACACTAACTTCACAAAGTGAACTCCACATATGTAAGCTTGGCAGGGGGGAGGGAAGAATCTGTGTACTCGGTAACAGAGGATGATTTCTAAAATGTACCTTCAGGACTACAATCTTCTAAGCATTGTTGTAGATTATTCTAATTACTACAGCTGAAAGATGCCTGTAAACGGTGTATTGAAATAATTCTTTCAAACCCCATTGGTTGGTTTTGGGGGAGTTGGTTGTTTTAGTGGGTTTAACTGTCCAAGAATGCTGACCTCACCAAAAGATTCTCACTTAATTTGACATCTCTTTCGGTAAGCGATGTTGACTAGCATTATTTCAGTGTCACATTTTAAAAACTCTTTTAAAACTGTCTTGATGAATTTCACATTATCAGTTCTGGGGGCTTTTTCCAGAGTCTATGGTGGGATGACCATTCTGGATCAAAAGCATTCCACCTAATCCTTTTAATAATCAACAAGATATGCCTTTTTTTCAATCTTAGGTCGTCCAAGACTCACTGAAAAATCTTACTAATCTGTAACAGAGCTCCTTAACCTGTACTTCTGTTACCTTTATCTGCCTTTTCTAAGGTCTGCCTTTAGTAACTAGTTCTAGAATCCTGATTATTGTTTAAATACACGTATTGTATCATATACATAAAAGCACTTAATGTTTTTCTCAACCCCAGGAGTACTTCCTCAACAGTCCTATTGTAAATAAAGATGATGTTAAACAACAGCTATTAATGACATCTTTTTAAATCAGCAGGTGTAATTTATATCCAAAAGTCTTAAAAGATCTGGCTAAAGCCTATGGAGGGGTCTAACTAAGTAAAGGCTGGAAAATTGAGGACTGAAGGAAAAATAAGTTGGAAAACACTGAAGCTTTATAAAAGCTTTTGGAAGTTGGGAGAAATGGACATTTTGTAGACAAGACAAACAGTTTAACAAGATTCTGTTGTACAAGTACACACCACGTAAGTACACACCACACAGCAAACATGACTGAAACCCCCTGAAATTACCAATTACCCATTTGTCTTTATGTTGTACAATACTGAAGATGCTACTATTTAGTAAGCAAACTCTGATTTTACAGTCATTCTTCTTAACTCAGGTTTACCACTGCGTGCTTTTCCGCTGCACTCATCCTTGTTTTCAACAGATTTGTACAGCAAAGACTGTAAGGAAAGACACACTTCTCAGGAAATCTCCCCACAAATCAGAAGTGTCTCTGCGTTTCACAACTTCAGCTTGCTCAAGCGCCAGTGTTGAAAAATGTAACATCACATCACAGTCCAGTTACGTTCCTGACAGCTGAACTGTAACTAGCACACCGAGACTTTGTCAGGGTTTGTCAATATGGCTTCTCCCCCAAGGACTCTAGCACAGCTACATGTTCTTAACTGCTGGTCACAGACTTCCTTTTATGTCCTTCTCCTCGTGCTGTTGCATTGATTATTATCTCTAACAGAATACTGCCTGCAACATCACTGGTTTTTATATTGACAGCTTTGTATTCAAGGCCAAAATCTCATTTTCCTGGATGAGATTATCTTGAGGGCTTTCACTGAATATATCTGAATCTCAAAACTATGATCACTTACGTTTTAGTGTTAATTATAGGAACAAGAAAATCAGCACCCTTTGTATCTTTCAGATTTTTTCCCTACTCTCCTCTGCATAGGATGTTTCATGATATAACCAGTGTCTCTTTACACGCAAAAGTTTCCTTTTATTTCACTTCATGCAAGGAATGTTTTCACAACATTTATTTCGGTAGCCCTGCCAAATCTAGAAAGATTCTTTCCATCCCGAGACACTAGTTTCCACTTCATACTGTCAACCCAATCAGTTATTTGGGGGGGAAAGGAACACTCATACTGTGTGAGGAAGCTAATGCAGGTTAAAATAAGCTTACAGTAACCTAGCGTTAGACAACTGTATTTTAAATCTTGCCCTGGTTAATGCATCGGGTCACAAACAGCTTACAAAAACAACTGCTGGGATAGAAGACAGGGAATGAGTAAGCAAGGGGAAAGAATGGAATTAATACTTAAGCTGCCTCACTCCAAAGAAATGGCATAACAACAGACTGAGAATCTGTAAGTTTCTCATTTCACCCCCATTCTAGCTCGCGCGAGCTCTATGAATCCAGCCATGAATGACTATGCGTATCATCCCTGCACATAAACGCCACTGCAGGTACACCTACTGAGCCCTGCCTTTAAACAGGAAAAAGTGCAACCAGCTTCCTCACATGCACTGGCCGGCCAGGCACTGCCTTTCTACCTTTCCAAATCCGAAGAACCAATAAATTTACCACAATAGCAGGAGAATTCTGTCTGTTCCTTCCTTCAGGATTTGAGCAAAGATTTAGATCAGCAGTTCAACAGTCATAACTATGGAATTATTTTGCAATTTCACATCAAATAGGATTTATAAACAGACATTTCTTCAGTTAAAAAGATCTGTGGCTTTTGTAGTTTATTTCTCACCTCGTTTTTCCAGAAGTATTTTTAACAACTTTTCGGAATGACTGATTTGCTGAGGATCTTGTAGACATAGTTCTAGGAGAAGCACGAACAAAAGTAGTCGGTGGTGTCTTAGGGATCTTCTTTACTAAATGAGTCACCCACTTCTTCTGTTCATCTTGACAGGATGCCAATAACAGCATATCTCTTGCTGAAGTCACATCGTAACTCACTGTAAGTAAAAGGAGGAAAAGGATTCAGTGAAACCAGGACTCGTTACCAAAATAAGAGTTATGACATACCAGGTGTGCCCCTGGAAAGAACAACGGCATCTACGTACATACTTGGATTGGATTTGTTTCTATATTTTTGGAAGACAACAAACAGCAGGGCAAATTGTGAATATAGTTTCTTTCAGTATTTGTCTCTCTGCATTAAGATTCTTCAGTCTAACATTAACATTCAAGAACTGAGAAAACTTACACCACCTGCAGTCTTAAGCTGGAAAGTAGCACGGGTGCCTTACGGCCAAGTTCCCAGGTACATACCCAAATGCTCCACTTCACAGGAGTACAGAGAGGAAACCTTTACTCCCATCTGTGAAGTGGCTGAAGAACCACTCTTCAAGCACAGCTCACAGATGAGTCCACTGCATTGTCCCTCCTGTGGGCCATGTCTAAGTACAGAGAACTGTCGGGGAACCAACGTGCTGCCCAGCACCTGCGCACAAACCTCGAGAGACCTTTGTGCTCTCAGGGCCCTCAGCAGAGCCGCAGCAGTTACACCACCAAAGGCCTCCCCACAGAGCCTTGCCACAGCTGCCTGGCCATACGCAGTGTCAACAGTCTATTTTAACAGCACCTTTCACATCTAAAATCATACAGCTAAAAAGAGGAGAAAACTTTTACACTGAAGTGATTTTATTTGCCTCCGGTAGTTTAGTAAGTCTGGCTAAACCATGCAGAGAACACAGACTGCAAAAAACCATGAGTCTACCTTTGCAGGGTGCAATTAATTCCTCCTTTTTATCCAAGTGGTCTCTATGGCACTTCACGTGGCATCGTCGACATTCTAGGGCAGCAGGGGGTTTAAAGACGTGCCAGAGCGGTTTGGCACAGGCCTCACAGTTGGCTGGAAAGTGGTATAACGTTGGAATAAATTCATGGCCTTTGTGATTTAGAAAATTTGTCTTCTCTGCCGGCTGTACTGGTTCTACCTCCAAATCCTTCCTGCATTCCCCCTCATTAGCGTAGAGAATCTGAAAAAGAATGCTGCTGTGTAACTGTTGAAGCATTATGTATTTTTATATGCTTTTCAAAGAAGCTGCCAAGCTTTTTCAAGAGAGTTAAACAGAAAAAAGAATACACTTTTTACCTGAAATATTTTAGGAATTTCTTCAGTTTCAGCTCTGTATACATCTCCTTGAGTTACAGGCCGGACATGGAACAGCTTACTAGATTAGAAGAAACACGAACCAGAAAAGAATAAAAGTCTATGTATGTTTTTAAAACAGTTATCAAAGTGCTTTGAAGTTCTTAGAAATCTTGTTTATGCAACCAATACAATATACTTTAAGGCTGCAATATGAGTTTAAGAATTAATTCATAAACCATATGGATCTTGCCTACCCAAGAAAGACCAAAACATTTCATAGCATGGAAAGAGGGTTATCTTACAATGGGTTCAAAATCCATCATGGCAAATTTACCTGTGAGAAAGGTGTTCAAATCCCTCCCCAGAACACTGGGAAGTCTAACTGATTATTGCTAGAAAAGCTTACTGATAACCCTGGATGGAAGTACAGTGCTACTCACTAGGTTTTTTACTAAATCACATTATCAGCTGATGAACAATCAATGCCAGAACATCACAAAATGCAATCCGGGGCACCAGCTGTTGAAAATGCTATTAAAATTGAAACAAACATCATCTTATACTGGGTCAAGACTGTAAGTCCATCCCTCCCAACATCCTGTTTTCAACAGTTGCCCTAACAGATGTTTATGAAAAGAGAAGAAACAGCTCAAAGCGAAAATAACTCTTTTCCTGGTTATGAGCAATTGGCAGCTCAAGCACTTCCTGAGTTTGAGATTCCTTCCAGACCACTGTGTTTGTTAGTCACTGACAGACCTATTCATGAATTTAAAAACCTTTTTTCAATTACTACTTTATAAGGTCCCATGATGTTGATCAGCTACTCAAACATCACAGTCATGTATCAGCGAGGGGCTTCAGTGATATTGGACACAATTTTCCTCCTGTATAATCAATGTAAAGGGATCACAATCCATTCATCTTGTCACTCTAAACAGAAACCGTCTGGAAAAGTTAGAAATGCTTTGGGCTTGGTCAACACAGTTTCTCAGAGAGAGCAAGAAAAAGGTACGAAGAGGATGAGACCTAAAATCAGTTCCCTAACTATCCCACAAGTATCACACCCTGTTTAGAAAGCAGCTGTTGAAACAACTGGAAAAACCAATTACACTGAACCATAAAAAGAGACAGCATAATATGGAGGTTCCACTGTCTCTGACCCTGCTCTGTCCTAACAAGATAAGGCTCTTCATTTCTGTAAATTCAGACCAGTGACTACAGACAGTGCCACGCTATTGTGTATGTACATTTTTCTCTAACTTTTAGCAATAGTAGGCCAAAGAAAAAAGTAGTATCTTCTGTTAACAGCACCCTGAAATACACAGACATTTTCCAACTAGTACGGGAAATTAAAAATTATTTATGGAATTTTGATTCCAAGCTTCTAGATTTGTTATCAGTTCTCTCACACACAATGTTCTTTTGCCAATTTGCATCCAAAACTAACAGTAACTTTACTTACTCTATATCTAGTACCATGGATGGATTAGACTGGTCCTTGTCCTTTTCATCATTGTAGAACAGTATCTTTTTACTGCTCACCACAACATACTGGGGAAAGAAAGGGTAAAAGCAAGTTAAAATCGCATTTGAAAAAGGAACATTTATCCTACTGTGCTCCCATATGCACATAAAAAGGCTGAGTAAGTTAAGATTTTTTTGAACTAATATCAGGAGATATTTAAAGCATCATGCAGACAGCTATACTACTGACAGCTGTATGCTACAGCTGCAGTGACTGCATATTGTCACTGGAGCACCCTAAAATGCTTGTGATGACTCTAGAAGTCTACCTGTACCAAATTCACAAATTGCAGTTGCTAATGGCATGTTACTATGAAAATTACTGCATCACAGAGAAACTCCTGGAGTGCAGGATCTATCATTTACTGATAAAGTTGTAAACAACTTCTCTAGCTCTAGAGACCTGCAGGACTCACTGGGATTTAGCACCAAACTACTGGTAGGCTGAAAGAGACTCTTATAGCTCCAGCTAACTATTTCCTGGTCTTTAAATTTAATGGTCCGGTAAAATAAAGAGCCAAAATCAATCAGCAGAAACGAAGGTTTGGTATACATTCCAAATCCAGGAATACACTGAGACAGTAAGGGAAAGGTTTGCAGAGGAGGAGAGAAGAAATGGACATTCTTCTGCTACATGTCATTTCAAAGGTCAAACCACACAGTTTTTTTCCAGAGTGGTAAAGATGTTAAAGAACAGAAACATTTGGTAAAGTGTTGATTGTTTTTTTCCCAAGTGTTTTAAAAGTTCTTGCTCAAAATCTGCATATAATACACCAATCCCATGCCACTGAAAAAGTGGAGTACTCCAGAATGCACGGGATTCTGGGGAATAACCAAGAGCTACTGGGAAGGCACTGTGAGTTTTAGAGCAGGAGTGGACTGCAGGCCCCATTTCAAAGAGAATTCCCAAACACTGAGTATGCCTGCAGTGCCTGCCCCCCTGCCCCAAAAAGCCCAAGGATGTTGTCCTCAACCTAAAGTACACAGACACCCTTCCAGTGCTGCTCACAATCACACAGAATTATAAACATTTATTCATATGACAGGAAAAACACAGTGAGCTGCTCAGAAAAAAAGGTTTGTAACCCACAGGCCAGTTAAGATCAAACACCTCCAACCTAAGCACTTCCCAGAGAGTTCAAGCCTGTAGAACTCGCTGCCTGTTGCTCTCCTCTGGGAGCTGCCAGTCCAGCGTCTTTGCTAAACTGTCCATAAGCGTAAGCTCAGTGACAGCTGCGGCAGTTCCCTCCCCTGCAGTTTCAAATGTTTTAGAAACAACATATTAAAAGGTATGAGGTACTAAAGAGGATTAAAAGAAGAGGTAGACTGACTGCTGTCTGTATTGAGCTCCAGATTCTGGTATAATACGGCCCAGAAGCAGTGCAGAGGACCAAAAAGCAAGAGAGTGAACACACGAACAGTTCATCTCAAATTCCAGTTACTGGTAGGTAACTGAATCGGTTTCTGCACGATGCAGATAGGGACCATTTAAGTAAATGGTGTTTACTTCTCCTTCAAGAGGAGGTTGAACCTCCTCATTACACAGGACTAAGTCTGACCTTAAAACCTGAATGTGAAGGTTACCTTAGCAAGTTTAGAGAGTAGTGTTTTAAAACTGTGTTGCTCAAGCTGCATGCTACAGTTGTACATCTCAACTACCGAAATGCATCTAAAAAAGCCACAAACAGTATTTTTCCTCCTGACTAAAAAGGCCTTCAGCCCCTCAGTCAGAATTCTTTAACAGAAAGCCTGATCAACTTGAATAGGTACCGAGTTGCAATGGGGTGAGCCTCTCGTGATTTTCTCTACTGAAGAGAAAGAGTCTGTGCTTGAATTCCTTTGATCTACTTCAACAGAAAGCTAATGCCTTCTTTGCCTTTGAAGTACACACCTCTGTCTTTCACAGACAAGAGCAAGGCCTTAAGATGACTACTATAACAAATGCAAATTCTGACTGCAAGGGAATTCGGTCATCACACTGTATACAAAGTCTTGGTGAAAGAACAAGTTAACCTGAGAAAAGAGAAGTTACGTACAACAGCCTCAATACCCTGTTGTGAATACACAAATAAACCCATCTTCTGACAGTAGTTCTGTTCTAGAGTGGGTTTTGAAGGGTATTTTATCATCTCCACTTGGGATGAAATGAAGTTCCAGATAAAAATATGGCTAACCCATATTAGTGTTAGCTTGAGGTATAACTCAAGTGTTTATGCTCAAATGAGTTTTCCACACTTACCCCTTTCTAACGCAAGCTAAAATGACTCTGAGGGCATGGGGCAAAACCATGAGTGCTACTGACATGAGTCAGAAACGCAGCAGCTCAAGCTGTAACAACTCGGGCATCAATCCAACCACGCTGCTAACGCAATTTTGCTTTCCCCTTAAGTTAATCTGGGCATGCCTATATTTGAGCTTTGCACACCTCCCACCAACCCCAAAACTGAAAGCGCAGGAGAATTTGGAACAGAAGCACCTGAGGAGGCTGACTACAAGCCAGCTTGTTTCAGATGCACCACAGTTCAGCCAACAGAATACACGTGTAAGTCAACATGGCCCCTCACTACTGTGTCCTACTGGTTTGAACCTCAGCTAGTTTAAGGAATCTTATCAGCACAATTATCTCATTTTATGACAGAGGCATCCATCTGTAGCTCGAATTCCTTCAAACTGCAAGAACTATTATTCAAACTAAGAAAGTATGAATGGAGTAACTGCCTAAAATATCTTCAAGGAACCAAGTATGCCTATACTGGGCACGCCTAAACAAGCTCAGATAGTCTTTCACGGGAGAAGCTGCATTTATCAGAAGTTTAAAATTTTAATCACCAGAGGATGCAAGAAAAATCTTCATTTCTAGAAGACAACCAGAAAAGGCTGCTTGGAGGTATTCTGACAGGAAAATGATGCGGTATTTTAGATAATCCAGAGCAGAGTAAAGCTACACGACTTGTGCCTAGGCACAGTCACTTCTGCTCACGGACACTGCCAAAGTCTGGCAGCAACCTGGAGAATCAATTCTGGAACAACAGGAGTCAAACAGCCTCAGCTGTCAAACAGAACAAACTGCGGAACAGATTTACGAACAGGTGTGTTTTGTGAGAGACCTGAGGAAGATTCAAACACTATTGGGTTTGACTCAAATACAGCACCAAGCACGTTCTTGACCTTGCCCTGTACATGTCCTGCAGTTCTACTGACAGGGAGACAAAGTAAAATGCAAAGGGACCAGAAACCAACTGAAAAGCATTTGAGGTATCTGTGGCAAACCCCAGGTTCTAAACTGTGGTAAGCAAGCATTTTCGGTATGGCACTGGTTTGCACTGCCTCTCCTCTGAGGGTCTGGGAGAATGCTCTAAGCAGCCATTAGCTGAAGTAGGGCAGAGTGTAACACTCACGCTCTGCAGGTTAGAATAGGTGGCTGTTAACTTACAGACATGTCACCAAGAAGGTCTGGTATTCACGTACAAATAGGCAGGTCTGGAACCCAAACCACTCTGATTGTATAAAGAAGGTCATGTTAGCCAACTGAAAAACAGTGTACTTCACAGGAGTTCAGCAGCTAAACGCCAAATACAAACACTTCAGTGCTTCTTTGACAGGAATTAAATCCTCCTTTAAATTTTGTAGGAACCACTTCTTACGCTTGTAGAATGTGAACGTAAACAGAAGCATCTGAGAAGGACCTTTCAACAGGAATCAAAGTTATCTTGAAAGTGTCATGAATAAACTGAATGATTTCCAATACTGGTGTTTGACTATAAGTAAGAAAGATGCAGAGAAATAAACTAGTTCATACAAATCGCTCGCAAAATTTATAAAATTCTAGTGACCGTGATCACTTTTGCGATTTATTATACTAAAGGATGTTCAAAGAGGGGAACTGGGAAGCCAGAAAACATAATCAGAAACTGTTTCTAAGCTTCTAGGCATCTCAGTTTGAACATCTGAAGTTCCAAAGAACCAAACCATATCCTCTGCAAAGGCAAAACAATACTGCTTCGTTTAGAGTGGGAATTCCAGCACAGTGGTCCAGTTTCTGAGAGTAAACCAGTTCTTTTCAAGAGAGACTAACCATTTCTAAAAGTAAGGGAGATGGAAATGTCCCTGGAAATCATATGTGGCAAGTTAGTGCGATGCACTCTTCCATGGCCTTCAGAACATCTAGGTGTGGTATTCCCTGCTCTCTGCTGCCAAGTTGCATGAAGAGCTTATTTTTCAGTAACAGGATTACAAAGCAGCTTACTCAAAGGAGAAATGGGATTTTTAATGGTTCCAGGATGCCCATTGTAATGCATTTCCTCACCCACCTGTTGTAAATTTGCACAGTGTTATTACTAAAAATTTCATACTGAACGTGAATTTTCTTGTTCTTTTTTTTTCTTCAATAAAGTAATGTATACACACTAAATTACTGCAATTATCTTGTCTGTTTCTTAAATGTGAGCCGTAAAACCAATTCATCGTATGCCTAAAAAATTTTCCAAGGGATTTGAGGAAGAAAAAAAAATAACAAAATCCATTTGTACCTGTTTCTTCCAGCCATGCCGCTTAATATTTCCTTTGTTTGGTATTGAAAGCCAACCTTCAAGTCTTGATTCTGGTTTTTAGAAAAATGCATATTAAATAACTTTATGTATTTATAATAATAAAGCAGAATAGCACAAAACCAAACTATTACTAGAAAGGAAGATGTACTACATGCAGTAATAGGCAATTACATATTAAGCAAAGCAGAATAAAAAGCACAGCTAAATAAAATGAAGGTATAAGCATTGACTTCATGCTTCATCACAAGCTAACATTTGATTACACAGTTACTGCAAAATAAAGTGAAGCTGTTTCCCTTGATGCCAACATCTAATACTGTATGTAAATAGTTTGCAAAGAGCCAGGCAGGAAAGACTTTTGCTTTGAAAATGTGTTACAGCTTAAATGGAGCAAGATTAAGAGATTTTCAATATAAACATAATTTAACATTCAGAAGGACTCTATGAAAATACCCAGCAGTAAGATGCAGCAAGTAAAACAAACCAGATCCACATTTTCCAAGGGAAACAAAAAGGGGAGCGCACAAGACCAAGCAAAGCTATACGGCTGTCCCATTACTCACAGAAGATAAGCATAGGAGATAAATAAATAAGGAATGCAGGAAGAATCAACTAGATATAAAGAATAAGAGACAAGGGTTTCATTCAAATTTTCAGCGGACAGTTTTCCAAAGAGTAATGTAATAACGTATTTTCCTACCACGAAACTACTGAAATCATTTAACAATGATACAAAGAAGCGTCACAAGAAAATTAGCATCCTGCCTAATGTGAATCATAGATTTAAAAAAAAACCCTCCAGCCAACAGATACTGTTTTCTGAAATAAATATTTAAAATTATGAAGCCAGGTAATAGCAGTGAGAAGCTCCTGTGATTCCATTAATGGGAAATGACGCGGTAAAGAGTCTCACAATTTTGTAAACATGAAAATGAAGTAACCAAAATTTCACTCCATAATTACAAATTTTTTCACAATTGAGGAAAATTTTGTAACTTTAAAAAAAACTATTGTAAAAATGTGATACGTAAAAAAGAATACAGACATACAGCTGACAGCTGATGTGTGCATTCTTTACAATAAACTTAACTGGTAGCACTGAAAACTTCAAAAACATTAAGTTAAAAGTTGCTGAAACATTCTCCACAAATATTTATGTAAGAATGATCTACTGGTCCCTTTTATCTTTCAAGGATAACTCTGTGTGAGGTGTATCCCAGCAAGCTCTGCAAATACATCCAAATATAACAGATATTGTCCATACACTTCGTTATGTAGAATTACGAGACTGACAGCCTAGCCTTGTACGAGGCATTAAAATTAGGCATAAAAACCCCCTCTTCCCATATTAGCCTTATAGCAGGAAGTGCTACTATTCAGCAGTGGACTACACTTAAAAATACAGAATAGTTTCCTAACATTTCTCCACACAGAGTAACTTCAAAATACTGGGGGACCATCAAACTTGAAATTCTAATTGGAAGGAAGGCATGTTAGCAGAACTCATTCCAGTAAGAAACCTTCCTGGGTAAATGGAGGAATTTTATTTCCCTGCCTCTCACATCTGCATAAGAATTGGGGGGTGTGGCAGGGTTTCCCCTGCCCGACCCCTCACCAATTCTTGATATTCTGTAGCTTTGGAAAAGGAAACCTATTTCCTTCGTGTCTGCAGGCATCACAGGTAATACTTACCCTCTTTTGAATACATTGATTAATTTTCACATCAAGAGAAGATTCCTCTACTTTTAGGAATTTTAGAAATAACCTAAAGCTCAAGTCCTCCATTGCAAAGTAAAGTGACTAGTTGCTAATAAAGAACATAGTATGGATGACTGCGATTCAAAAGGAATATGGTATGGTTAACGGTGACTTGAAAGGAATAAGTATGCCTCCGTGGAAATTGTGGCACCTCAAAAATTGGAAAGATCTAATAATGATAAATTTTAAAAGATGCACCAGGTACTATGTTGCTTATAGGGACAATGTGAGTAGGAGTTTTTTCTAACTTCACTTCTATTTCAGCACACTCTGAAAGAAATTTCAGAAGAAAGCGGATGAGCTATTACCAACAAATTGGTTGACATTCTTTTCTGTCTACTACAAATCTATTTTAGTAAGCAAGTTCTGTTTGCATGAGAGATGATTTCTGAGCTGTGAATAACACCTTGCAGTTGAAAATAACAGTTTCTGAATGTACTCCATTTCAACAAAGCTAACAGTCATCTGGAACCAAATGTACTCTTGAAAGGCTAGATGAGCCCTTTCATTCCAACCTTGCCACAAAGGTTTGTCTCAAGTAGTATTTATAGTGCATTTTAATTTCTCTTGACAGAGTTAGCTAGCACAACTGCAAATGTTCATCTGGCCATTTCACAAATATTTGATCCAGAAGAATAATATTTATGAGTGTTCTGATTAACTAATTAAGGAAATATGGGCTATCTAGACTATGAAAAAGAATCATCCATTCCTGACTTTAAAAATAGGCTCAAAACAACTGACAACTTCCTTGTATTTTGGAAAGAATCCCAGAAATAATACTTCGTATTTCCAATCCAGAAAATCCATGATAGGCCTCAAAAATATCTGATGGCTAGCTGAACCTGAATAGAATAGAAAGAAAGAAGTGAAGGCTACAGATCTTGTAATTATCTCTGAATATATATTAAAATGTGGATTTTCATTCTAAACATCTTCATGATTAGCATTCATATTGCCCAGATTCATTGTGATTCAGTACGATAAAAGGGAGTTCTAACAGTAAGTCTCCAGTAAAATCACAGGAGACAACCATGACCGTACTGATTTATGAGACTTTTTGTTGTTCTGGAGCTAAGTAATACAGGCACGCCCGCAAGAGCGGTACAGTATCCCTTTCCAATGTTCCAGAAGTCCTACTCCTCAGATTCTTCCACAGTAACCAAAAAATCTGGAGATACTACCTTGCTAATTCTTTCCAGTCCACCCTTCCCAGTTGATTCTTTCCTCTCAGACTGCCTTACTATAATTTCCTGTCGATCTCACCAAGGACTGCTGGCTGGATCTTGCTTTGAGGTTTATTCAGGTGACGGCTACTTGCAGGTATTTCAGACAGTTGTATCTGTGTCCATACTCAAAAAAACCCTGTTGGCTTAAATGGTCCACGTTTATTATTCTGTCTTATCTTTCTGTAAAACAGGATTTATAGCATACACTGTAAAATACTACGTGCTGCAGTTAAACCTGTAGGACAGCTCAATTGCTTAAATTATCTTGCCAATCAGATGAAAAGAATTAATCCACAACATGTTAAGTGCCCTACAACAATTAAGGAAAAAATGCTTAAGTTCCTGATTATGTTTCTGTCTTGACAAAGAATTCTGTTTACAACCATGTAAATATTCAGACTTCCTAAGTCCAGCAAGTAGGAAGAGGCATTCCAAACACATCATTAAAAAGCAAATATTTCAGCGGTTTTAGCAAGGACTATTAACACTGGAGACATCAACTGAGACATGACCAGCTACCTGAATCAATAATCAGAAGAGTTACCAAAAAATGCCTAGAACTGAATACAAGGAAAACATTTTCCACATCATGATCTTACCTACCTGGTGAAGCAAAAGCCTGAGAATACTCTGGATTGTCTAAGCAATTGGATTTATTCAATATCTACCTCCAAATACAAAAAAATTGTTCCTTAACTTAGGAATTAGGAATTCATTTTAGTACTACCTTGAGTTTATTCAAAGAGTTCAAAACCTTCTGACCCCAAAATTTTACAAGATGTTCTTCCCATAAACTAGGAATTTACTCTTGTAGCCTCCCTGGTAGCTGTTAACCTAAGCTCCTGATTAGACAAGGCACTACCCCATAGCCTGAACCTTTCTGCCACACAGGAGGACAGTGGATGCCCGAGAGCCAGAGGTCTCTCTGGAATTCCACCAACATTTCATACCAACTTTTTCCTCAATTAAACCAGAGACTGCCCATCACCAGAATTGAGACCATGGAATCACTCTTTTATACATGCGGACATTATTTTGTGCTTTCATTTTTCCCCAGTGATGTTTTTACTGGGACAGGAAACTGAGTAAATCATACTATAATTATTTAGCAATTCTACTGTTTATTTGCCTTAAATCTTTAAGGAATGTCTTTGCCTTAAGAACAGATGCATCAGCTAGAAAATCCTATTGACTACTCATCAGATCCACCTCTTAAACAAGATGCTCTTCAAGGTAGTTTGAAGGGACATTGATGTTTGGGCTGTAGAAGCGATGGGAACTTAGCACACAGTTGAAGACAAACAACTTCACACAACTAAATTGCAGCAAATGAACTGCTGAGGTATGCCACCTTCAGTTTCGAAGACTAACTACTTGGAGAAAAAGAGCTACGTGCTGGGTAATTTCCTCCTTCTGAGGCATAGGGTATTTCTGCTTTGAAGACTGGCTCTTTTTTTTCCCTCCTTATAATGCTAGTGCAGTCATCTGCCCTCTACATGTAAAATCTGACTATACTAATGTCACTTAATCTCTTTTAATTACCTAAACAGTTTCTTATTCAGAACCTGATGAACTCAGAGCACTCCTCAAAAAAAAATATTAAAAAAACAGAAGCATGTAGGGACATGACCTAAATCTGGAAGTCCTAATATTATGTATTAGAGGTCCTACCTGCATGACACAGTAACACCAGCAGCACAACTGCAGTAAAAGTCAGAGGCATGTATAGAGAAAAGGGAAAAAAGAAGAGAATCACAGAATGCTGGGGGTTGGAAGGGACCTCAAAAGATCATCTAGTCCAACCCCCTGCCAGAGCAGGACCACCCAGAGCAGGTCACACAGGAACGTGTCCAGGGGGGTTTTGAATGTCTCCAGAGAAGGAGACTCCACCACCTCTCTGGGCAGCCTGTGCCAGGGCTCTGTCACCCTCACCGGGAAAACGTTTTTCCTGATGTTCATGTGGAACC